ATATATATATATATATATTCATATAGCCATACACCTTGCATCGTCGTTGAGGTGTCTTTGATTCAATTGACACGTTCTTATTCATTTACCTATGATCACTTTCCGCCTGGTATATCGCTGACGGCGACCTATTCACCCCCCTAGCGCATGGAACGAATGACTCGCGAGGGTGAACAATCCCCTGGACGTCTTACGATAGCACAGGCCAACCTGTTAAATATGCAGGGTGGTAGATTGTCTCCTCGAAGCCCGGTTTCCCCTTTGCTCAGCCCTGACTTCGACTGCGCACACCCTACCTTCCAGGGAGCTCCGTCTTTGTTATCCACCAATGGATTCGCGGGCGTTCACTTGAACAAGCGTGGTCTCCCCTTGTCACCTATGTCCCACAATGCCTCTGCAGTTTCATACGGTCAGCAATCATATCACTCGCCGCTACACGACCTTCAAGAGATGTCCATGCCGGGGGAGGAACAAGCGTACGATACTTTCCGCATGAACGCACCCAAGTTTATGGGCCAGGACTTACGGCTGTCGCAGCAGACACATTACGACGACATGTTCTACCTCCAGGAGCAACTCCAGCTTGCGAAGGGAATGGGCATGGTCGGTGCTGCAGCAAGGGCTGAGAACGGATATACCGCTATGGAGAGGCTGTTACTCCAGGGCTATCTCCAACGCCAACAGACACAGCAGCTCTTTGAGGCGGAAGTTCAAGAGGCGCAGTTCCGGCATTCGTTGCTAAGCCAAGCTCGCGGGTTAAATCATTCCGCGACGTTACCCGCAGACTTATCTAGCTTTGGTACGGGGTCAGCTGGTAGAGAACCCAGTCGCCGGTTGCCGGATGTTCTTCCCCCGATGTCCGAAAATGACTTTCACGCGACCGCCGCTTCACATCAACGTTCCCAGCGGCCGATGTATCTGGACACGGACCTCAGGCATGAAAGTAGTGTTCCTGGGACTTTCTCTGGTAGCCGGAATATTCTCCCAACGGAGTCGTCTTCTCGCCTCGATATCAATCAGCAGTTCTCTCTTGCTCAACAACGCCAGAGGAACCAAACACACAGTACCTACGCCCGCGCTGAGGCCGAAGCGCATGCGCAGGCGCTACACACTCGCTCGACTACATTCCCTTCCCAATATCTTAGCGGACGCGATAGCGCTTATGATGTCTCGACTGATTCTAATCAACAAAATAACGGCCGTCCCTATACCGGTACCTTCGGCGACAGTATGGATACTACCCGTCCAATAAAGAGTGCGGTGCTCGGCAATGTGGGTTTAGGTTCGAACGGTATCAACAGTACGAATGCGGGAGGACGTGACAATTCTTCATTCAAGGCCTCTAGCTACATACGGAGCAATATGAGCGGATCTCGCGATAGAAGCGGTCTTACCGGCATGGATATGAGCTCGGTGTTCAGCAACATTCATGGCGCGTATGAAGCTGTCGGCTCTCGACTCAGCAATAAGAGCAGTGGCATCGGCTCTGCGCACCCGCACCACGGGGAGGAAGAAGAGGCATCGTCGCCGTTGATGTCGCCCGCATTGACGTACTCTGCGCGCACGCCGGCTTCTCTTAGTCCGGCCACACCCGCATCCGGATTCTCCTTCGAAGTACCATCGATACATGGGGTGACGGATGGGCGTGTGGTTGGGGCTGAGAAACAGAAGATGCGAACAATGAACTAGAAGTTTCCTCCGTACATTGTTCAGCATTGTGTGTATTGTACGTCTCGACCAGTTGTAATTCTCGACGCAATGAAGTCTCTGTTTAAGTACATGGTGATGGCGAATTCAGTTCAATTGAAAAGACGTCGTGGGCATGAATGCCGTTGTACAAAGGTTGTTTTCTGATCTTAGATCGTCGACCTGACTGCGAATATCACTACATACTTCGCTCTTTGATCTCCAAAATCACAGCAATCGCTCAACTAATCTGCTTCTGCCTGATTTTCCCTGGGAATTTTTCCAGAGCCGTACGTCGAGACGCCTTGTGCCTGGCGTTTCCTGTGCGGCTTGCCGTCGTGGCGATACTCTGCACTGCTCATGCCCGCACCGGGATGACCTAGACCAGAATGGACGTCTGCGGAGGTAGCGCCGGTGAGGGTGTCGCCGGCCGTCGTAGGGGTCGCGTATGGGTCAGGATCAATGACGGTACGGGAATCAGGGGCGGGCGACCGAGGGTGCGGCTCGGGGACGGCGCGAGGCCCGGGTTGTTGGTCTGCAGAGCGCAAATAGTGAGAGTGAGTTTGCGAGAAAACAGAAAGGAGAGCAGACGGGCGTACCCCCAGGGATGACCTGCCGGATGTTGCGCCCCAGCGGAGGCGCGTCTGCAACTGGAGGCGCGTCGCGGCCTGTTGGCGGGGGGAGATGCTCCTGCGCACGTTTGGGCCCATGCTCAGGTTCTGGGTAAGAAGTCGTTCAAGTCAGCTTGGACGGCTTGTGGTATCATAGGTTTCGAAAGCGGAGACGTACCTTTGGGGAATACGGCGGTATAATAGTGGCCTGTGGTTGCGTCTTGCGCTCCGGGGATACGGCCTGCGCTGGCCTCGCCACCGACGTAGTCGTTATGGCGGCGGGATGTCATGGATTCAGCAGACATGATTAGAGTAGATGGTATGTAGGATCCCAGAGGTGCAGAAATGGTGAATATAAGCTGGCTGTGTGTGGGGCTGTGGGGTCCTCTTGGAGGGGGACAGCACGTGTGACGTCATCGATGCGCTAACCCGCGGAAAGTTGCATGATAGCTCTGGAGAATGGAACTACGCGCATCACTGAGCACAGAAAGGTCTCCCCACGAGCATGATTCAGTATCCATTTGTCATCTTGGAATGGAAATTGGATACATAATGTCATGAGAACCTGTGCACCCTTGCCTTATCGAACCTTGGCCATATTTCCACCAGACATGTACAACTTTTCGACTCCGCGCGAGGTTGAGCGCCAGCTCCCGGCGCAATTCGAGTACAATCCAGCTGTGGCGTTTCTCCCGGATACCACCAGCTACTCACCCCGTGTTGTGTAATACACGGTAACCTGTGACAGCGCATAGTGCAGAATTTCGGCCGATGATCCATCCTCTGCAAGCACGACCGTCTCCTCCTCGTCCTTGAGTATCGTGTCGACATGTTCGCTCGCTCCAGAAAGATGGGCGACCCTGGCACATGCTGCATGTAAAGCGAGATATTCCGCTGACGGCAATGGCACATCCACATTCGGGATGTGGCATTTGAACGTAACGGTAGTGGGTAGTTCAGGACCAAGCAGACGGCATGAGTTTACTTTATAGCAATGCGGGGTTTGCTATCAAAATCACAGGTGAGTGCTCTCAGGAAACAGTTTGGCATCACTTACAGTGGCCTCCAACCAAATATGTCAAATGCCACGTGAAAATTAGGTTCCACAATCATGACGTTGTCAATCCGGTGAATCAGATTACCATTCAAGTCCTTGGGAAGCCCACCGCCCAAATCGCGACAAGACTGCCAACACTGAACTAGCCCATTGTTTCTAGAACTAGTTGGCCAACTCGTATCAAGCACAGCACCGAAGATTCACCTTGTTTTCATTAGACAAATTGGTATTGATGGATTGTGGTATAATATGCGCAAGATGGACCCAGGCAGTGAACTTATGCCCTTTGCTGCAGAACAATACCATCGCGTTGAGAATATCATTAATTGAGTCTACATCCCAGCGCCCCGTCAAAATACAGCGGTAGCCGTCACAACTCCTAGCCTAATAAATATAGAAAATGAGAGTAGAAATGACAGAAGAACCACAACACAGACCGGTCTCCTGGATTCATCATGTTTAAGCGAAGTCTGTCGAAGGAGTGATGAGATCTGCGCTTGGGTTACATCTAAAGACGGTCCAGAATGGTGACTAGTTGGCATTGGAGTATGGCCTTTCGCGGCTTTGACTGTGAAAACTCAATTCCGACGACGAGGTGGAAGAGTAACAAAAAGCCTGCGCACAGACCCGGATGAATCGGTCAATCTAGAATTTGGCAAGTTCGATCATGATTTTATTGTCGGCGCAAGATTGGATGTCGGTCGCAAACCGTTCTTCAGCTTCAGGTTTTTGTGTAAGCTCGCGAAGCAAATGGCCTAGGGTGAAGCTCCGAGCCTCCGCCCAATTGCGTTACGCCGGCGGTGACGGACGATAAGACGTCCATTTCATGCTCCAGGGCGAGATACCTCCCATAAGCTTCGCGACAGACTCCGGTTGCGTAGGATTTGGGACGTTCTAAGGAGGTAGGCCCTTGGGCCATGATGCATAAATAAGTGTGGTGCTCGTGGTGAGTGCTAAGCGCTAAACGCTAACAACGTCGTTGTTCTGGCGCTAAATCGAGTGATATCTATGTAATCATATCACCTAATATAGACAAGTTATAGCAAGCTGGCTCAGCTTTACCTATAGTGTGGCGCATTAATTCGTACGTAGTATAGAGTATTTAAACCGTCGCAATGTGCCTGCATGGGGCAAAGACTTGCTTTGCCCTTCAGTCCTTTTGCGGCGGAAGCAGGCAGCATCATCGACGCGCTTGATCACTACCACTTGCCACACTCGTAGCCGACACATGCATATATATTCTAGACAAGACTTCAGTATTTCAATCATAACCTGCATTCAGCATGACACGAGCACGAGTCGTTCCGTTCTCCAGTCTAATCCACGTCTCGACAGCGTCACCCGGCTCAGGCGACGAAAAGAGGATGTTGCGTACGCCATGGCCCCAGCCAGCATCGCTGTATCCACCGTACCTAGATATGTACATCAATCTCATAGGTTCACGAGCTGCAGGAAAATCATCAACTGACCCAGAATGCTTACTGAAGCAGAATATCACATCTTCCGTGGGCTCCCGTACGCACGATTCATTGCCATGATCTGTGCGGAGGTAGGTATCAATTATTCGACAAGGAGGCGAGAACTTTTCTACCATGTCCAGAAAAGACCGCGTGGAGATTCTTGACATTGCCGTTCAGCGCGCGCCAGAATGCCAAATCTTCGCCTATATTCGATGGCTTCGTTGTTGCCTGAGTAGATCCCGAACCTAAAACATCCGCTATATATCACGATGAAGAATTGCAGTTTACAATCAATCTCAGGCGTGAATCTCTCGATCACGTTTGGTTTGTTGACTTACCATTCAGGCCGGGGTCTTTGGTACTGTTAAGGCCAGACTGCAGCATCTGTATGGCGTGTCTTTGAGCATTGTAATCCGATTGGTTTCAGAGGCGGAATGTGTACAAAGGCGAGCGCTCCTCGAGCAGCATTCGCTGGGCCCCAAGCCAAGTCCATAAGCTTCGTCTGCTCCTGAATCCACCCTGCGACGCTTTCGTCCACCCAATCGGGAACGGGGGTCGAGTTAGGCCCAGGGCTGAAGCCGCCTGATGTACAAGCTTAACTTACACTCTTTGTGAGAAAAAGACATAGATCATGGACGTACCTCGCGAGTCAAAGAACCACAATATGAGAATTGGTGTAGGATCTGCAAGATCGGGACGAATTTATGGTAAACGTGACATCCTGCTAGTGCTTCGCTCACCTGACATGCGCCTATATACCTACAACAGACTGATTTCAGAAAACACCTGCCGTGAAAGAAAGTATGTGAAACTCACAGGCACCCAGTACGTACCGGGTCCCGACTCTCCCCCTACACCCGGCGGAGCAGTGCGGGTGTAACTGAGGGAAGCAACGAGTTGCTCACGCTGGATTTCTTCCATGTGCGTAATGTTAGGCTCGTTATCGTGATTCTGATCCCAACATCGTCAGCATCACTATGAACCACTACGGCGCATTACCAGTCTCAACCCACTCCATGCGTTGAAGAAAACGGAATTCTAGCTTCGTTCAGCGGCTTGACTATCTCATCGATGAGGTGCGTAGAGTTCTGCCGGAATGTGTCTAGCAGAGGGGGTTTGAGATTAGGCATTATTGTTGATACAAGCAGTAGCCATCATACTCTCTCCTGTAATAAGGTCTCCATTAAGGACGCTATCGAAGTGTTCCATTTCTGTAATCGCAGCGCGCGACTCATATAGCATTCGCACTTACACGTAGTCTGGCTCCTCGTCTGCAAGCACACGGCGCATTAACGCTGTGCTGTTGATATCCTGCTGTGGCCCCCATTCGTCCCAAGGATTCTCGCCGAAGTGCAAGTCCGCGAACACAGTTATCTTGAAAGTCCCATCATTGCGAAATCTTACACGGGGTTTAGACGGGTAAGGGTTCAAGGCGTCCGGATGCATCGCGACTTCTAAAGCGGTAGCTGGTGGAAGTGCTGAGTCAATCGTGCATCATTCAAGGACTTACGATCGTCATTGAGTGTAATGGGAAGTGCGGTTGCCGAGTGAAAGAGTCCAAAAGTGATGAGCGAGTATAGTAAATACGCAAGGACCGCCTTCTCACTGAACGTCTTCATTGTATAGTGCCAGGGCCCAGTGGGTTTTTCGAGTTGTGCATGACAAATCAGGATCTCCGAGCCCTCTCTACTAAGTTACAATGATAGACCGCGGTGACGCGCGTCTGGATCACGCGGGTCATAGACGCGATCATGTGATCTTCGTTCGACTTATTGTCCAATGTTCATTTCCGAGTTTGGCTTTCACAGAGTGCCTTGTGTTCTGCCCATAGCGGTCTTGTATACCTAACGTTGTCCTCCTGAACATGAAAAATGTCCCACACTCCATGAGCAATGATAATAATACTGAAAATGAGCTCCCCACCCTCGACAAGTTATTGCTCCCGAAGCGTCGCAACGTGAAGGCCGCGAGGTTGAAGCGTGCAGCTGCCCCCATGGCCCCGACACAGACTCGCATGGAGGCAGGCCAAAGTCCAGATTCTGGTCCTTTCACACTTCCCTCTTCACACCCGCAGGATCTGCATGCTGCGAAGATGCTCATCAGTCCGCCCCCAGAGGAGACATTGAGGATGGGGAGGTATTCGGTCAGTTGTCTATCTAATTGCATATTTCTTTATGTGCTTTGACACCCCGCAAAGAATTCTCGTGCCAGATCAACATCTGCTGCAGCGCCGACATCTACTCGTATCTATTCTCCTGACCTGTCTAACTCGGGATCGTCTAAGCGCAAACGTCGTATGCCTCCGTTGAGCTCCCGTTTTACCCAAGACGCTATATCATTTCATGATCAAATGTATGGAGGGAACTTGGGAGACGATGCGATTGGCGTAGAGACGACTCCAAATCCTAAACCTCGTAAGCAATCTAAACGTAATGTATCTTTTGTCGTCGAAGGCTCTCCATCACGACCATCTTCATCCATCTCTATCGCTGTACTCTCGGCGACACCAACACGAGCCTCACGACACCGCGCTTCGGTATCTCCTGTGAAGAATTTACCGTCTCCGCACAGTACCAATCCTAATGCCGACTACATTCTTCCATCACCCTCCCAGCGTCATCTCCGCGAGCATATTGCACATACCCGGCGTTCCACAACGCCACTACCCCCGTATGAGCCCCCTACTGAGCGATTCACACCGCCTCGCGAGGTTTTCTATACGCCACCGCCACCCTCTCCCTCAAAGGCCCATCAGTCAAGCAAACGAAAGACAACATCAAAGCAGAAGGCACGATTGACGCTTTCCATCAAGAAGGAACCTCCCATCATTGACCTCAGCCAGCCACCACCACCACCGTCTCCCACAGAAGACCCACTTTTACTTACTGGACCACCACAGCGTCACAGAAGTCGTCCCAGTCTGGTGTCGACATATTCTCGTGATACTCCGCCTCTCGCGTCTACCTCCCCGATCACAGAGTACGATGCAGAAGACTCGCGCCTGTTTGACCTACAATTTGACAGGGGCATGAACATGTCTACCTCCAGCATGAGCGAGGATACGCTACCCGTCCCCGTATTCGACCTGGAGGGTGTCCGGGAAGACGACGCGGGCGCATGGAGCGACAGCGATTCGGACGACGTGGAATTTGATCAGACAGGCGAGTACACGGGGAAATTCAGACTGATCACCGTGCCCACAAAGGAGGATCCTCCCAGCCCCACCACTCGGAGACGCATGGAGAAGTGGGGCAGGCCGATCAGTCCGTTCCCAGATCTGGGGATGGTCCCATCTGCTCGAGATGTGGGCCAGTCCGACGTTGATGCCGAGCTTTCACAGACGGAGGACGACGAGACTGAAGACACTGCTGTCGGAGGATCCCCGGAAGGCACAGACGACAGCGATGAGACCCTCCAACTTTCTGCGGACGTGGTGATGGACGCAGGCCATGCTCCGATCGACAGTGACAGCAAGGGCAAGCATGTTCAGCATAAAATCCTGGCCGACCTCTCACAACAATTCTCAGATCTTGTCGTTACAGATATATACGTATCTTCCGACGGTGGTCGGCAGCGTGAGCTGCAACCCGCTGACTATGTCCCTGCCTTAGAGGTAGAAGGTGTACAGGTGCCTGAAGCACTTCGTGGCGAAGAGTATCCTGAGAGCGAGAACATTCTTGACGAAGATGAGACGGAGGAGGATTTCGTTGATCGGGAGCTCTCGAAAGAGCCTGAACCAGAGAATGACGACGACGATGCGACTCATGCGCATCTTGATTCATCCCATTTTTCTCGACCCTCTAGGCCATTCGTCGAAGTGGATGAAGACAGAGTCGAGATAATCCCGCAGCATGACGACGACGCAGGATCGAGCGATGGTAGCGAAATTCTTGACGAGGGTGTGATTAGGATCACAAGTGACGATCCCTTGGCGGCTGCTCGCGCGGCAGCAATTTTGAAGATGGTGAGATTCATCGTATTGTGTATTTACCCGATCCTCACGCACTCGGACGCAGCATGACTATGATTGCATCCAACGTATCGCAGCTAAGAAACGGAGACATTCACATCTAAGCGTCGACTCTCTCCTCAAAGCCAGTCGCAGACACAGCATGACCGGTGCCAGGGTCACCAAACACTCGTCGCCCATTTCGAGACGGCACACTCTTGGTGGAATTATTGGAGACAAGGTCATCATCCCTGGGAGCCCCAGTATTTTGCTCCCGGATTTGCTGAAAAGCAATGAATCCGCCATTCATCTAGAAAGGTCTTCTTTGCGATCTGCGGCAGGGCGCGATCTTGTTAAAACGCCGAGCCGATCATCCGATCCCCCCAGTACTTCTTCCCAATCTGCTTCTCCGGCATCCCAGGAGTGGACAAAGGCCGACTGGAAGATCCTGGATGGGTGTTTTACCGACGAACGGCTGGTCGTAGGCATGAGTCAGCACCTGAGCGCGGGGGTATTGGGGGACGTGGATGACGTTATTCTTGGCAGCGTTGTCGACAGGTACATTGAGCAAATTGGTGGCGTTGACGCGCTTGCACACCGTCCGCGGCTGCAAAGATCAGATATTTTGCGGCGGGCGCAAGCTTTGCAGCAAAAGCAGCGTTCGGGTAGAGTTGCGCCGCCGACTCCTATATCTCGACAATTATCTCTGAAGGGGCACGGGCCATCGTCTCTAATCAATCCCAATGTCGCGCATCTGAGTGTGCAAGAGCGATTGGCTAATTCCGTGTCGCAGATTCTGCCTGGCGTATCAACGCCCAAATATTCTCATCTGCTAGAAGAGGCCTTATCTGTCGCGGGCGACACCCAACAGCCTTCTAGCGGTGGCCTTGTCATACAATCTGCGCTGCCTAATCCGACTTTGCAACCTTCCACACCTTCGATAGCAGCGCGCATGAGAGGTTTTCTAACCTCATATTTATACCATTCTCCCAAACCACCCCCAGTAAAGTCTGTGTTGCCTCAGCGGCCAAGTCTTCCCGTCCCACCTCCAGAGGTTTTCGAGAAACCCAGGCAGACCATTGCCACGCCTATATCGAAACCAGCCCCGCGCCCCCCTCACCCAAAGGACACTGTTTATCTTCACCCCGTTCCCTCTGCTAAGTCGTCGATGATCCCGCGCGTCTCGCGCCAACCGCAACGAATGGTGAAGCTGCACCCAACATCAGTGGAGAAACCTATGCTCAAGGGATCTAGATTGCGCGACCGACGGAGTAGCGGGGCGAGCGTTAAGGATATTATTCGTGATTTTGAGAGTTTAGCAGATATGGATGGGGACTGCATCCAAGGGACGAAAGATCCACAGCTCCGCCGGACGAGGAGTGTCGGGAAGATGGGGAGCGAAGGGGCGAGACCTGTTTGGCGACCGTGATCATATATGTTATATCATCTTGGACTATATGAGCTACTTTATGATTTATCAGTATGTGTCGTGTCAATTTTGTACGCGCCAAGTATTCAATGTTGTCGATTGAACTGAAAGCGTTCTGGGAACCTAGCGAAGCAGCGGGAAAATTAGCCGCAACGACGCGTCTCGAACGAGCAACCTCGAATCCAGCGCGCTTCTGCGCTGCCATATGGAATTAAGCGTTCCTCCGGAGCGCTCGGGCCGGAGCATTCGATCCGTCATGACTCGGTGGCGCGATGGTGCCGACTCCCGAACGGTGGCTCCGCTTTTTCCATTTGCCTGGATTCTGCGACACTCCTTCTCCTCCTCCTCTTCATCCTCCTCCTCATCCTCCTTCTCCCCCCACCCTCACCCCCACCTCCTCCGCCGCCTTTGTATTGCCCTCGCTCGTCCTACCCCGCTCCCGCGGACCTTGTGTCTGCCAAATGTCATCCACTTATGTTCACTACTCGACCCCGTCTTCTCTTCCCTCCGATTATGCTCTGCTCTCGCGGTACGCTGCTGCTAACGATGCAAATGACTCCGACGACGACTGCGATGACAATCATAGCAACGAGGGCATCCAGGCAGATGCTGTGACCGCACATCCTGGCAGCGTCGGTATCCCCAGGCGCACATCGCCAAGGGCTGTTTCGCGCCGTCGCAGTTTCCCCACATCTCATGTCGCCCCCTTCAAGCCGACAACTGGGCCTCTTCCAGACAAGGATGGCTACCGCTCAGGTCCGTCAAGGGACGCGTCCGAGACGACACCATTGCTGGCCCCTCTCGTGCCTCGCATCGAAGAGGAGGTTGACCAGGAAGGCTTTCCTCGCTCCGAGCGCCCCGCTAGCATGTACAGAGAAGAATTGGCCATTCTTACAAAGTACACTCTTCCGGTGTTTGGGTGCGTCCCTCTTGATTCTTGTCACGCGACTTACTTCTCAGCGCTATCACAGCACCCATGTCCTGGAGTATTCTCTCGTGATAGCCTCCGTCGTCTCGATCGGGCACTTGTCGACCACCGCCCTGGCTGCGTCTACGCTTGGCTCAATGACCGCTAGCGTGACCGGCCTCAGTATCGTCCAGGGTTTCGCGAGCACCCTCGATACTATGCTTCCTGGCGCCTGGACGTCGTCCCAGCCCCAGCTCGTCGGCCTATGGGCTCAGCGCATGGGTCAGTTGCATTAGTTTCATTTGCTACCTATCAACACTCATTAGTCGTCGCACATTAGCTGTCGTAATGGCTGCCGTTCTTGTAGTGCGTGTCTCGCTCCAGGTTCCCGCTGCGCTCACCCTCATTTGTCGTAGCCCATTATCTTGGTATGGTGCAATTCCGAAGCCATCCTTCTCTTCCTCAAGCAGGACCCAGAAGTAGCTCATCTAGCGGCTGTGTACCTCCAATGCCTCGCAATTGGTCTTCCTGCGTATACATTTAACGCTATCTCTAGGTGCGTAGACGAATGCCTTCTTGAAGCTCATCCTCACAGTCGCTGCAGACGTTATTTCCAATCTCAAGGTCACACATGGTCCATCTCATGTGATGCAAATAGTGTCTCATCTTGTATTCAGGTCTTTTCACGGTTCCGACCCGGATCATCCTCGTGATAGCTCCAATCAATGCCGTCTTGAATTACTTTCTTGGTATGTCGGGCTTCTGATCATCATGTCGTCTTCTGATCATCTTGGCACAATAGTCTGGGGGCCTAAGCCCTTCCGTCTTGGTTTTATTGGTGCACCAATTGCTACTGCTATATCCTTTAACCTTATATCACTGTGTTCCATCGTCTATGGTATCTTCTTCGTTCCCAGCACTGCTTGGCACCCTTTCTCGCGCCGCTGCTTCACGAGTCTTGGTGTCTTGGTCCACCTTGGGCTTGCTGGGGTCGGTATGTAGCTACGCGCTGTTCTCAGAGTTCTGGTCTCAAGCTTACATAGGTCAAACTGCATCCGAATGGTGGTCTTGGGAGCTCGTCGGTCGTGAGTTACTTTACCACAACTGCAACATGTTCCTTCGAGACTAAGATCAACCTTCTTCGCGCCACAGTTGCGGCCAGCATGTAAGTGCGCTACCGCAGCATATACATATACATTCTCAATGTATCGCCCGTAGGCTGGGGCCTGTATCGCTAGCAACCCAGTCCGTCCTATTGGTCTCTGCGTCTACTACCTACCAAGCGCCATTCGCTCTCAGCGTAGCCACATCGGTGAGGTAAGTTGCATGCTAATGACCACACTTCGCGATGAATAACATCCACTTCAGAGTCGGAAATTTGCTCGGCGAAGCAAAGGCAGTCCGCGCCGGCGTCGCAGCCAACGTGTCTATTCTCATGTCTCTAGCTATCAGTTTAGTTTGGAGGTTTGGTTCCGCAGCTTGTCGGGTAGCGCCAACGCTGACCATATGCGCCACAGTACGATGTTCATGATCTTCAGAAAATCATGGGCGCATCTTTTCAATGACGATCCCGGTGCGTCTGTCCAAACTCAGCTATGACCATCTGTATTTGACATCTGTCACAGACGTTGTCGAGTTGGTGGCGACAATCCTGCCTATCGTCGCACTGTTCCAGGTCTTTGACGGTCTCGGTGGAGTAACGGGGGGCATTTTGCGGGCTGCGGGAAAACAGGTGAGCAGTCTGCGCAATTCCGTCTGCATATTCTTTGTTAATGTTGTGACCCTAGTTCACTGGCGCGTTGCTGAATTTAAGGTAACGCTTGTCGCTTGTTAGTATCATCGCACACGCTTACCAGATCTTATTTTCGTCTAGTGCATATTACATCGTAGGCAAGTTGATTGAATCTCCCACTGGTCGTTTTTGGATTAAAATCTGCCACAGGCATCCCCTTTGGGATCTGGCTCACGTTCTGGAAGGGGATGCAGCTGCATGGGCTTTGGATCGGCCTTACTGTTTCTCTGGTTTATTGTGCCACCATTGGCGTGTGGATTTGTGTGCGGACCGACTGGAACAGGGAGGTTGAGAAGGTGAAAATGCGTCTGGCTGCCGATCAGAAGACTGGGAGGCAGGATCCTGAAGCAGACATCTGAAAGTGAGATTCAGGCAAAGACTTGAATACATTAAACTATCTTCTTTTACGAGATGATTACGTGATGACCCTACAATCACCAAATCAAAGTGAGTTGTAGATGCGCGTGCTACGAGCTGTTCAAAGGGAAGAGACCTCTGTTCGGCGACATATTGTGCTAAGGCCAAACCAAGCAGTCACCTAACTCTACCATTTGTCAGTAACACTTGATACCGTCTGTCGACGAGTCAGTGAACGACTCACACTGAGGATCTAACGGGCCGAATCGTAAGGCAACTCTCGAGTGTGATACAGTAGGGAAGTTTAAAGTTGATGCAGCTGGGCTCGCAGAAAGTCCTGCGGTGCAGATGTGGATTTAGGCACTGAAGAAAATGTTAGTCCAGATGCAAAAATGAGAAAATATGTATATGTCTCCTGCTTATCTAATGTCACACTCAGATATATGATTGTGATGACCTATGAGCATGTTTTGGAGAATTCTAACTTCTTCTGCATGATGTAATGCCTAACCAACCACTGCATGATAGGTACATCCACTCATATGCACTGTTTGTTGCTCTCCAAGAGGCATTCACACCACTTGAGAGTCTTGAGGCAATATATCAACAGCTTAACATTGACATTGAGATACTTCAGGCAATCAGGACAACTCAATACTTATGCAGATGTGAATATGTTTTACACCTGTCATGTGATGACCCACAGTGACTCTGTCCTGAACCCAAACCTAACCCTAACCTGGACTCTACTCACTATCTGATAGTTTCTGAGTAAAGGGCTTGAGGGCAGTTTACTAGTAGAGGATGCACACTGAGTAAGAGCGGGTAAATGACTATAACTAGTCTGGCCCTAACTGGCATAGACCTACTGGCTTATATACATGTTGGGTAAGCCCCCCTGATACTGTATGTTACAGCATGGAGGGGGGGGCTCTTTTTTCTTTCCTAACTGTTCGTTGTTAACCCTGTAACAGTACAACTGATCCCATCACCTGATGTGTTTCACCTACATCAGTGTTTCATATCTATCGCATTTCACCTACATTATGTTTTACTCACAACACATTTCACCTCCATCATGTTTCACCCTCATCACTGATACAACCCAGTGAAACCTGTTTCGTGTACTGACTGATCCAACTCAGTGTTTTCACATACTTATTAAACTCTATTTGCCTTTGCCCTATTTAAGTAGCACTGCTTCCGCTACTGTACTTTAGTTTTGTCCTCTTATTCCCTATGTACCTTCATAGGGACAGCACTCAGTAATAGACTCAGTTGTCTATTCAGTCTTAGTCTGAAGCTCTGCTT